TATACCAAATGACTCACACCAACAGTATTCCTTCACATAGACATGAAGTATTACTTCATATATATATATAAAATTTATAATATACATATATAATGTGTATAATTATAATAATATATTCTTATATAATAAACTTTATATATATATACATATACAAACTTTTTAAGCAGATAGATTGAAACTGTATGTAGATAATTTTGAAATTTTAGCTCAAAGACAAATATGGAAACCATTGTATTGTCCATCGATAGTAAGTTGACTCAGTTAAAAGTACTTTAATAGGGGCAGCTGGTTGCACAGTGGATAGAGCACTGGCCCTGGAGTCAGGAGGACCTGAGTTCAAATCTGGCCTCAGACACATAACACTCACTAGCTGTGTGACTCTGGGCAAGTCACTTAACCCCAATCACCTCACCCAAAAAAGTACTTTAATAGTCAATAATAGTCATCTTAAAATTTGGTAATTCACAGAATAATAGCCTGCCTAGTTCAGTGGATAGTGATCCTCAAGGCAAAAACAAACAAAAACCACAGGTATTCATGGCCGGTCTCTGAGATAAAACTGCCTGTGTGACCCTGGGAAATGTTCTTTGCCTCTCAGTACCCAAGAAACTTTTTTAAGACTACATTGAAAAATAAAATACTTATCTGCATTGGTAGAAAAAGTTTTCTCAGTGTAGTTCCCCATACCCATAAATACATAGGTTTGGAGAACAAAACAATAAGTTGCAGAAAATTTTCCTCAGAGAAGATACATATCTAGATGAAAGAATAGGGGGTAGGCTGAAATGTTGATGCAAAAACAAATAGAAAAACCGGTAAAGTAGAAACTTCGGCTTCTGCAAGGAAGATACTTTCTGAAAGATAGGCCAGAGAAGAAGTAGTATTTCCTGGAAGTCCTCTTCTACCATTCTCATGGGATTTGTGAATAACCCTGGTTGAAGAGAGGGTGAATCACTTAGCTTTTCAATCTTAAAAAAAGAAGAAGAAGAAGAAAAAGAAAGCAAGCTTCAATAAAAGAAAGTAAATAATAAGAAAGTGTGCACTTGCATGTGTGTGTACATGAGAAAGAGAGAGAGATCATTCCAAAATATTACTTACTAGTTCATAGCCTGTACTTTCCAGTGGAACTCTTCTTACAATCCCAGGGATCTCTTAATAACAAAGAATAAAAAAGAAACGGCAAAAGTTAAGTTATGTATGTGTGTGCATGTGTGTGTAAGTATACTCATATAGGTATATGGAGAGAAAGAAAATGGAAAAGAATGAATAATCATTTATCAAGTATTTGCTTATATTTGTCAAGTATTTACTCAAGTATTTACAAGTGTAAATCATCACACTAAGAACTGGGGATACAAATAGAAAATTAAGACAATTCTTGCTCTCAAGGAGCTCACATTCATATACATATATATATATATATATTACATATGTGTATGTATACACATATATACACATATGTGTATATACACATGTATATATGTATATACATGTATACATGTGCATATGTATATATATACACATACATATATGATACTCATATTTATAGATAGAGGTATATTATTTCACCTGCTAGTCAGATGGAAGGGTCCCATAGTCCTTAGGAATCAGCCACAAAGAAGATGCTGATGTGTCTACATTAATGTTATTACCATTAATAAAATCCTCTCATTTTATGATGTTAAGCCATCTGCTAGTGACAAGGACTTCAGTGACAAAACTTCCTTTTCTTAGACTGCAATAGCTGTGCCTATAGAACTTTAAAAAGAATCTCCATAGGGTTTGCTTCTTAGGATTATGGCCGCAGTCCGTACACTGGAAGCATTGTTGTTCCAAAGGTTATTGGGTTCCGGTTTCTGGTGTGTTTCCTGCGGGGTCAGAAGTTAGCTGGCAGTCAAGGTGCTGAGGCTGGTATAAGACACCCACACCACACTATCTGCTCTATCTCACTCTGTATAAACCACTCTCAGCTAGGTTGACCTTTGTGGCCTGAGATTGGCACTTGTTTGGTAGCCATTGGGTATTGCTTGCCTTTCTCCACTGTATCCATCTGTACAGGTGATGAATGTGAGGGCTGGACTTGAAGCCAGAAGAGTGCTCTAAGGGTTTCTGCCACCTACAGGGCTACTGTGTTTGTTTTATGCTGGAGGCAGCTGGCCAGTAGTTGCTGCACGTAGTGATGAAGAAGGTGGACCCCTTCTCCACAATGATCTCTTCCCTCAGTGATTGCTTCAAGGGCTGGTGTGAAAGTGCTTCTAGTGGTGTAGGGGACACTGGTACTCCCAAGTCTCTTGTATTCAGGTTACTGAGCAGTTTGCATCAAGGTCTGAGAGACATAGTAGTTAAGGTGGTGGTAGAGGTTCAACTGATTGGCACATTGATGCCTCTTTCCCTCACTGTGCATTGCAAATCAGGCCAGCTTACCTATCCTCTGTTCTTTACTCCATCTCTTCTCTGAGATCTTTGTTTACTCTTACCCCTCCTTAAGGCCATCCCTACGTATTGTTACCTTGTATTTTTTGTGTATATTTTGTGTATAATTGTATGTACACCTTTTTCTCCTGATAGAACTAAGCAAGCTTTTTGAAGATAAAATCAATTTTATCTTTTTTTTTTTGTATGTCCAGCACATAGAACAATTCTTGGCACATAGTAGGTACTTAATAAATGTTTGCTGATTGATTCAATAAGAATTTATTAAGCATCCTTAATGTGTATCATGGTTAATTTGCCTTAGAATCAGAAATATAGAATTAAAAATCACAGGATTTGAGAAATGAAATGAATCCCAGCTGCTATTTAGTCCAACCCATACATGAATGAAATCCTCACTATAACATAGCTGACGTGATCATTCAAGCCCTGCTTGAAGAACTTCAAGGAAGGGGATCCATCATTCTCAAAAGGCAGACCATTTGACTTTGGAACAGTTCTAAATGTGAGTATGGACTTGAGTTCAACTTGACACCAACTAGGTGTGTGATCCTGGGTAAATCATTTATTTTCTCATTGCCCTAGACAGATGTCTAACACTCTACATACACAGGATTAGTGGAGGTTCCCACATTGAGCATTTCTCACAGTGATGAATTCATAGGTCTGAACTTCCTCCTCCCCCCTCCAAAAAAATAGAAGTCACTACAATAGGTGCTAGGGATAAATAATAATAAATAATAAAAAACAACAACAATAATAAATAATCAGCAGTCTTTGTTTTCAAAGAGCTTATACATCCTTCTATGGAGATACATTTAAGCAGATTAATACATTTAAAATAACTCAAGGACAAAAAAGAGCCTCAACAATAGAGATTAGGCAAGATTTCTAGTAAGAGACATCAGAGTAATTCCTTGAAAGATGATAAGCATCCTAAGAAATTGATGCTGAAAAAAATCTGTTTAGATAAGAAGTCAATCAAATAGTATCAGGTAAGTGCCTCCTTGTGGGCCAGGCATTGCAATAAGCACTGGAGATACAAAGAAACAGAAAAATGAACAAACAAAAACCCAAACCAAACCAAAATCAAAACCAAAACCACAACAGCAACAACAATAAAAAACGGAGCAACTCAAGTAATATAACCAGAGTGGGAGATGGCACATCAACTTTGGAGACTAGTTAGCAGGACAGTTTGGTTGGCATATGGAATGTAGTAAGGATAACAATGTGAAATCATCCAAGAAAAGAGGTAAGAACCAAATTTTAAGGCCTTTAAGTGTTAAATGAAGGAATTTGTACATAATTGTAAAGACAATAGGAAGCATACGGAAGATTCTTGAATAGTGGAGTTTAAAAATCACACCTTTGTTTAAAGAAGAATATTTGGTAAGATTTTTGCACACAGTTTAAAAGGGAGAATTTTGGGATTTTTGTAATAATTCAGGCAAGTCCTTGAGCCATCATTAATAATAATACCTCATATTTATGTCATATTTTCTGGTTTCCTCATAACCCTCCAAGGTAAGTAGCAGATGAAGATATTGGGGTTGAAAGAGATGAAACAACCTACGAAAATCACACAATGAGGACTACTTACTCCCAGTGCTTTTTACTACTGGTTACTGTCTCTCTTAAGGAGTTTTGGGTATGTCCTGAACCCCTAACAATAACTTCATGGAGAAAAACTTTTCCATATCCCTAAGGTATCATTATTCCCTTGATTGAGTCATACCCTTGAGGTGAGGAGAAATTTTGTTTGTTCTTGATCTTTTCCCTGCTGATGCTATATGCTAGATCTTCCAGAGTTCATCTCCTGACCCATACTGATTAATGAGACTGAATTAGCTATTCCTCTAGAGTTTCAAACATTTAAGGATGTGGGCTATTTTTTCCACATTAGATCATCTTCATCAACCAGTCAGCAAGTTACTATTCATCACGTACCACATTAAAAGCGCTGAGCTAGGGGGAAAAAAAAATAAATGAAACAGTCTCTGTCCTCAGGGAACTTAGTTTCAGTTGATTTCTGTATGAACTGGTGTTTTACAACCAGCTCTTTCCCAGACTCACTATTCCATTTCAAATGAACAAAGCTCATCCTCCATGCCAGGAAAGCTGTCTCCCATCAGCTCCACATTTCTGGGCCTTTGACTTGCATCATGGCTTAGCTTCATCACTATGCTTTCTATAAAAATTCCCCCAATTTGAGCTCTAACTCATTTCAACAAGTGTGAAAATCAATTTTTCCGTGTTATATCATATGCTACAATGAGCATAGGTTGTAATTCACTGTTGTTTTGTTTTGTTTTGTTTTTGAGAGCAGAGACTATGGATTGTGTGTTTTGCTATCTCCAAGGAGAAGCATGATGCTTTTCACTAGTATATTCTTAAGAAATGCCTATTCTTTATTTATTTTAACTGAATCAAATTGAACAAATCTAATGGTCATTTTGTCTCCAAGATGAGAGTGTTGTAATGTCCAAATTTCAATGTGTATGAATCAAGATCATTCCATCTTTTTGTAGGAGAGAGAAATACACAGTGAGTGACAAGCCATCGGCATGCTATCTCTTCTCAATAGCTCAGACTTCACATTCTCCACCTTCCTGGTGACAGGAATCCCTGGACTAGAGTCTATGCATATGTGGCTCTCTATTCCATTTAGTGCCATGTTCCTACTGACCCTGACAGGTAATATCACCATCATGCTGGTTATCTGGACTGAAAGAAACCTCCATGTACCCATGTACCTCTTTCTGGCAATGTTGGCAGCCTCAGACTTGGGTTTGTCCATCTCCACATTCTCCACTATGCTGAAGATCTTCTGGCTGGAATCCCGGGAAATGAGTTTTTCTGCCTGTTTCACCCAGATGTTCTTCATTCACACCTTCCAGCAATTTGAGTCAGCTGTGATTCTGGTCATGGCCTTTGATCGTTATATGGCTATTTCCAGACCCTTGCACTATGCCTCCATCCTTACCAGTGGTGTAATTGCTAAGATGGGTCTGGCCATTTTCATACAGACAATGGCAGTGCAGATCCCAGCTCCCCTCCTTCTGAGAAGGCTAAGCTTCTGTCATTCCAATGTGCTATCCCACTCCTACTGTCTACATCCTGATATAATCAAGCTCTCCTGCTCAAACACCAGAATTAACAGTGTCTATGGCTTGTGTGTTGTTGTTTCCACTCTTGGCCTTGACTTCCTTCTAATTCTCCTTTCCTATGTCCTAATCCTAAAAACTGTTTTGAACATTGCATCCTTTGGGGGGCGCATGAAGGCCCTCAATACCTGTATCTCCCATCTCTGTGCTGTGGTCCTTTTCTTCACACCCATGATTTGCCTGTCCTTAGCACACAGGTTTGGACCAAAGCTTCCTTCCCATGTGTATGTGCTCATGGCTAACATGCACTTCCTCATCCCCCCTGTGATGAACCCCATTGTCTATGCGGTGAAAACCAAACAAATTCAGAATAGTATCATTAAGATCTTTCTCAAGAAGGAATCAGGGAAATCTTAAGTAAAATATATAGAAAATAAGGTGGTGCCTTGGCTGTAGAAAATTTGAAACAGTAATAAAACCACTAAAATTCAATCTGCTTTTTATTCTCAGCCTGTGTAGGCAATTTAGAATAACATCAGTGATAAAATATTGTTCCCAAAAAACAAACAAAAAATCCAACTTCTGTTGGCCTAAATGTTAAACAATTGCTGGTTCTGTTGAGTTATAATAACATAGAGGTAATGTTCCAATCCGCATTTCATAAACTTAGCTTTTAATGAACATTATTATGCAAACAAAACACATCAATTCAGCTACATCATTCATCGTAGAGTAAGTCTGTAAAGTTCAGAATCATTTGAGTCTCTTCAGAAGCAGTTCATATCTCCAATGCTCCTGTCACCACATACTCTTTCATTTAAATTATTGATTCTACATAAACAGTAGCAACATAAGCTACTTTAGTACATCTTTCTATGTGGCCATTTGTATTCTTTGTGATTAAAATTTATGAGAATGAAACAAGGTATGAACTCAAGCATGAAAGTTTTCTTCAGTAAGTGCAAATTTGAGCTTTAGTGAATTACAATATTATCTTTAAAGAATTTATTTTTATTTGTTTATTTTTTAAACATGAAGCTCTTATCACAACTATAAAACATTATATGAGTGGAATGATTTATTGGTTTCCAAGGCTGTCTCTTTTATATATTTTTCAATTTTATTAGAATATTCATATGAAAAGAGATTTTTAAGAATCTCTTTCATAATAATCATTATTTTAAAGATTTTCCTAACATACATCTGTTTCTACATGTGAAATACTTTTTGAAATTAATGTTAATTAATTTTTTATTCAATCAACTATGTGCAAAGAGAGTTTGACAACTATGGCTCTACTGAGTATTAAATATGAATATAAATTTTGACAGTCATTGAAAAATTCCCAGAAATTAATGTGATTACATTATTCATTATTGTGATAGACCAATATGTAGGTAACATTTCCCCTTATTTTAAAAATAACATATAACAATGCAGCTAAAAGTTTTAATTTGTTATTTTTTCTCTTTGAATTGTAATAGTTATTTGATTTAATTTTTTTCCTATGATAATTGCATCTAAGAAGCTAAATAAAAGATTTTAACTGTCTACATTTCTATTTTTATTATTCTATTTTGTTACATGATTGTTACTGGCAATGATTTTTTTATACAAAGAAAGTAGATATGAAAAGATGATGTGCTGCAGGTGTCAAATATTCTAATTATACCAGTGCTGGGTTACACACTGATGGTATTGAAGAGTAGACTCAATTATTTACCAAGAAATTTGATTTCACTCTTTTTGAGACAAATTTCAAAATCAGCCTTCTGTGATTATATAATTATAGTTTGCCTAATCAGAGTTATACTCTACTACTAAGTCAAGAAACAGTACGTCTTGCTTTGGTAGTAACATAGAATGGATGAGAAATTCTAGAGCAATTATGTTGGAATATAGTCAAACATTTGACTCTAAGAGTGTTGTTGGTACTCAAGAAAAACAGAAACTGTTTTCACAACATGAACAAGTACAATGAAAAGTGTCTTGGATTTGGAGACAAAAATTGCATTTCAAACTCTGCTTTTTCACTCTTTATTATAAGTTTTTACTGATGTCTTTTCAAGCATCATCACATTTTTCCCAGTATTTGTCCCCTTCCCCAGAGACATCCCTACCTAACAAAATGAATTTTTAATGACAAAAATTAAAAACAGGAAAAATCAGGACATCCATGTGAAGCCATCTGAAAACATGTTCAGTTTGCAAGACCTATGGACCTTCATCTTTCACCAAAGGGTAAATTGGGAGCATACCCTCCATTCTCTTCCTTCCAGACACACTACTCTTTATAATTTTGCAACATTCCCTTTTGATTTTTTGTTTAACATTAGTGTAGTCATTAATTACATTGTTTTCTTAGTCCTTCTTACTTCAGTCTATCAGTTCATGTAGATTTTTCCATGCTCCTCTACATTCATCGCATTCATAATATCTTACTGAACAGTAATATTGCATTACATTCCTGTAAAGTAGTTATTTAGTCATTCTCCAATCTTTGATTATTTACTTTGTTTGCAATTCTTTGTTGTCACATAAAGTGCAGCTATAAATATTGTGGTGAAGAAGAAGTCATTGTAATGAATCACTTCTTTGAAGTGTAAGCCCAGTAATGAAATCTCTCATTCAAATAATACAAACTTTTTAGTAACATTATTTGTAAAATTCTTAATTGCTTCCCAAAATGGTTGTATTAATTCACAGGTCTACCTACAATATATAATATATGTCTCTTTCCACTACCTCTCCAAGATTAACTATGGCTATTTTTGTCATCTTTGCCATTTTTAAGATGTGAGATAAAACTTCAGGGTAGTTTTGATTTATATTTATCTTAGCAATCATTTGGAGCAACCTTTCATTTTTTTTTCTTCTGAGAGCCTTAGTTCATATCCTTTGGTCGAAACTATTGGTGAATAACTATTATAAATATACATTATATATAATATATATACACACATACACATATACACATATAACAAATAATTTTAGATATATTTGTAATGAATGACTATATATGCATATAAAACAGTTTACATAGATATAATTAATGGTTTTATATATTCATGTTACTTGCTTATATACCTTTGTTAAAAAAAATCTTTATTGAAAATTATGATAGAAAGACTGCATTAATTTTGTTTGTGCAAAAGCCTTTGAACTTAATATGATCAGTTATCAATTTTATCTTTTGCTTCATCTATCACTTATTTGCTTAATAATATATTTCCTTCCCATAACTGTGAAAGGCATATTATCTACTTCTCTCTCATTTAAAAAAATACAGAATGATCTTTTTATATTAAGATCAGATATCCATTTAGAACATATAATGGAGTATGGTATAAGATATTGGTCTGAGCCTGATTTCTGTTGGACTGCTTTCCAGTTTTCTGAAGTTTTTTTTTTAATCTAATAGAGAGATTTCTTATAAGTAATTTCTTTGAGAGTATGCCCAGGATTTGGGAAAGTTAATAAAGAATTAAATGAATAGGGAGAATGTATTTAGAGAGGTATCTGATGTCTTTTATACTCATATTGTGGAAGAAAGGATTCATAGGAAGGATTGAGGGATGTGTTCAGCATATGAAATCTATTGCACTTAGGTTAGGGATGGGAAGACAGTCTCTCCTTCAGTCTCTCATCTCAGGGAATGAAGCCAACTTAAGGGTTCTTATGATTTGAACACCTCTAAAATTCTTAGATTTTTCTGTCCTGACTGTAGTCTGATCCACTGGAGATGTATAAATCAAAAGGAATGTGTCTGTTTTTCTCTATCCCTGCAGGTACATTGAATCCAAAAGGCATAATCACAGAATTAAGTAGAATGTCAAGTAGTGCACCTTTGAGGGGAATTCCAATTTGCCCTCCCCTTCCTTTCAGGGGAATAGCTATTAGGAATGCTCCCCTAGGAAGCCTCTGTGCATCTGACCCACTGCACGCCCATGCAAGCATTTATTAAGAGACTTTTTGCTAAGAAATAAGCAAGATATAGGGCCTACAAAGGCAAAAAGGAAAGAGTTCCAGGACCTCATGTACCCTCCATATTACAGGAAGGAAATATTATATACAAAGATAAGTAAATAAAAAGTTATTTGGGGTGTGAAGGGGCTGAAACAACTAGGAACAGGAAGAAAAATTCTCGTGTAAGATATGATATTTGAGCTGAGTTTTGAAAGGAGTAAGGAAGGGTTTCCAAGATGAAGTGAGAAAGAGAATTCAAAGTACAGGAAGCAGTCTATGTACATGAACACAGGAAGGAGATAGAGGGGTTATGTAAGTTCTATGTTGGTTTCAAATTAAATGTGTTTGTCAGTGATGTAATAAAGCCCAATTTTATATACATGTGCTTTCCTTAATTCCTTTCAAGGAATAACATGAACTTTGAAGCTACTGAGGTTGGCAATTATCTACTGACATATTTTCAGTACAATAACGTACTGTCAAATTGACCTGAAAGCCCTGTAATGGTTTTTCACTGAAAATATGGGTGAACTTGTTAAGCAGATAGAATTAAATTGTAAATTGATAACTTTCAGGAAATTGTAGTTCAAATATAAATATGAAAACCACTATCCATTAATAGAAAATTAGTTCAATTAAAAGTTCTTTGTGGGCAATAAAAGAATCAACTAATGGCAGTTTAAAGCATGAAAGGCAGCTTGGCTTAATGGATTGACAGGAAGACCTGTTAGACAGGAAGGCCAATGTTAATTCTAACCTCTGACATATATTAACTATGTGACCCTAGAAAATTTTCTTTTCCCATCAGTGCTGTGGCAACTTTCTAAGAGTCTATATTACAATGATAATAATAATGATGATGATGATGATGATGATGATGATGAAATTAAATTTTAAAATGCTTATCTGCATTGTTGAGACAGTTTTCTGAAACAGAGTTCTATATATTTATAAAATTTCAGGTTTATATGTAAATAAGCAAAGAAACCATTCTATAGTGTTTCAGAGAAGTAGTACATCCAGGTGAAAGAATAAGGTATAAACAAAATCAAATAGAACAGTAAATGATGTGGAAGATACAATTTGCAGGGGAAATATTTCCTTTAAGATATGATAAAGCAATAAAAAACACTTTTTTTTTCCTGGGTGTTCTTTTGGATCATTCTTGTGGGTTGTGTTAATATTCCTGGTTAGCCAGGAGTAGAACAAAAGTGAATTTCTAAGTTTTCCAATCTTCAGGAAAAGGAAGTTTCCATGAAGGGGAAAAGAGAGAATGAACAGAGAGAGAGAGAGAGAGGGAGAGAGAGAGAGAGAGAGGGAGAGAGGAGAGAGAGAGAGAGAGAGAGAGAGAGAGAGAGAGAGAGAGAGAGAGAGAGAGAGAGAGAGAGAGAAGAGAGAGAGAGAGAGAGAGAGAGAGAGAGAGAGAGAGAGAGAGAGAGAGAGAGAGAGAG